ATAGTAACTAGCTGATAGCCAGTGTAACAGAATATGAAAATTTAAAGGGTTGTATTGCTATGCAGTAATCATTGCATATACTGTAGCAGTGTTTTTCCTTAGGTGATACCAATCTCATGCAAAATGAGAGTTTCCTTGTATGCTGGGCAGCTGTCCATTTAATAAAAAGCCAGATACTCAGCGTGATTGAAGAAGTGAGTTCACTTCTTCAATTGCCTACTAGGGTAAGTGTCCTTAAAAACCTTATTTTACCCTACATTAATTCTACCTATCACTGTCAAAAATTGAGTTCCAAATAGGTCAAGATCTTGTTTAAACTATTTTCTTCCGTTGGACATAATTTTTTAATCACTTTTAAGACTTGTGAGCTTCATCTAGATTAGTAAATCAAACTCAAGTAAACTATTATCTGAAAGCGATTCTACGGTCATAAAGTGATCTGCATGCATTATACTTCCTTAAGGCCAAAATGGGCCAGCTGCATCCTGGCTATCTGTTGGGAGTGGCTCCTGGTCCTTGCTAACTCCTGAACAGAGCCAATGAAAAGTTTGTGACATTGCTCCTTGATACAGGCCCTAATTGTCAGACTATTTAAAAAAAATGTTGCAGGATATATATGTCTGAATTCCAGAGCCCAATAAAATTCCCAGTCGCCATTTAATTTACCAGTGTACATAAACTTATAATTTTATGATGTCTTTATAAAGATCACCTATGTGGGGCATTTGTATTCCAATTAATTCCTTACCCAAAATGAGCATTTGCATTTGCATTGTTCAAAACAATTCCACAATCTCACCTCCTGATCCTCAGCAACTCTGTCTTGATGACAAACAGTTTGTCCATAGTTTTTCATGTACTAAATGGAGAAACCCTTCTTCAGAATAGAGACAGTCTAATGTCTTAGGGTAATGACTGATAACAAGAGAGGGGCTCATTTTTGACTTCAAGCAACTTATATGTCGAAACTGGAAGCCTGAACAGAATGGTGAGATTCCATTAAGACTTCAATCCTCTAAAAGCATATTTGGCAACCTTATTCTGCTGAGCTATGTCTTGTTCCAAGCTTCATGAAATATTTGATTTGAATTTACTTCTCATAACGAATGAGTCTGCAAAGAGCACATTTACTTTATT